TTTTTTGTTTGGACCCCATATTAATCAATTTAGAATATGAATATTAAAAAAAAAATTTATGGAAATGAATTTTTGGTTTCCATGCGAAGAAAAAAATAATTCAAATTTTTTTGAAATTCAAGCTATATATCATTTTATAATATAAATATATATATATATATATATATAATATAAATATACATCCGAATAAAGAAAATATTTGAAAAGAGGTTAAAAGGAGCGTAGAACCACTGATTAATATATAAAGTTTTATTATTTATTTAAATAAATTTGTTGAGATGGTCGAAATGTTAATGGACAAATGTAATAAAAATTCAAAAAAAAAATTTAAAAAAAAAAAATATAAAAAATTTTTTTTAAAAAATGTTACAAAAAAAAATTAATATATTATTTTTAAAAATTGAAATTTTTTGAAGAAAATTATTAATTAAGTATTGTAATATAAAAAAAAATCTTTTACAGAAAAAATTAATACAATGAAAATAAAAAAATTAAAAAATATATAAATGATTTATATTATATTTTGTAAAACCAATTTGATCTCAATTGTTATTATCAAAAAATGAAACAATGCAAATGCATGAAGAATATCAAATTTTTATTGATTATGAAAAAGCAAAAAGAAAGATCTATATCAAAAATTTAAAATTTGGGGTCAAACCCATTTTATAGAAATTTCTAAATTTCTGTTAAATTAAATATAATATATTTAATTTTTTAAATTCATAAATTCAAAATTTTTCAATAAATTGAAGGAAAATTTGAATTTATGGTTTTTTATTTAAGACCCAAAGACCTGAAAATTTAAAAATATTAAAAAAGACAAAAATTTTAAAGTTTCAAATCATATAAAAAGGTTTGCAGAAATAATAAAATATTTGAAATATAATTCTTTAAAAATAATTTTGAAAATTTTAATCATGAAATAATAATTTTTTTTGAAATTGAGATTTATTTTCAAAAAAATTCACTGTTAATAAACCACCTTCTAGATTAAATATTTATTGTTATAAAGAAAATCATAAATAAAATTTTTTTTCCCAAAAAAAAAATATATTTAAATTGAACAATAATTTTTATCACCATATTATAAATATAAATATATTTTTTTATATATAATATTTTTTGTAAGCGTTTCACGCCAAGCAAGATGGGAAGCCACTAGCACGCAAGGGTTACAGATAGCTGGAGCAAGAGCAAAGAGGAGTGATAGATGAATGGATGAAGAGAAGGATAGAGGATAGATCAAGGCATGTGGAGACGTCAATTGACATTACATTTGAATAGTTGGAGATTATAGCTATGAGGGAAACTGGAAAAAGGGGAGGGAGTTCCACAGGCGAGAGGTGCGAGACATGAAGCTATTTGAGTAGAAGAGACGGCTTCATTTAACAGTTTCGACAGTGAAAGTGTGAGAGCGAGATGCCAGCCTAGTTGAACGCTTAAATTCATGAAGTCTGGGAACTAGCGAAAGCAGCTCCTCGGAGCAGTTACCATGAAAGTATTTGTAAAAAAAAAGACAGAGGGAGGCGACGGCACGTCTGTGAGAGAGCGACTGCAGACGAGATGCCAGATCAGGGCCAATTACATTGCATATCCGTCTCTGGATCTTATCAAGAACCTTGAGACAAACAGAAGGGGCACCGGGCCATATATGGCAGCAATACTCCGTGCAAGGGCGAATGGTTGATTTGCAGATTTGAAGGATTGACTCTAAGCAAGAAAAATTTCTTGGCGCGGCACAGGGGCCAACTTTCCTTGCGGTGGACGAAGCTATTGACTCAATGTATTTGTTCCATCTCAGGTCAGCAGTCAATGTGAGACCGAGCAGTCGCAAAGAGGTGCTCTCGTGAAGTTGAGCGTCAGACATTCTAATGGGGGGCAGGGATGGTTCTCTGTGGTGAGTAATAGAGAGCAGTTTTGTTTTTGAGGCGTTAAAGTTAACCAGCCAATTCCTGCCCCAGTTCACAACCGATTGGAGGTCCTTTTCAAGACAAACGGCCAGGTTAGTTTTGTCAACGACACTAGATTTTTTTTTTGAGGCAGGAGTAAATTGTAGTGTCGTCCGCGTAGATGCCTACTTGGGAAGCTATGACATCAGGAAGATCGTTAATGAAGATAAGGAACAGAGTAGGGCCTAGAATGGACCCTTGGGGAACAGGAGCTGGAGGAGAATCTGTTGAGAACGACCTTCAATTCACAGTTTGACAGGAATGATTGCATTAAGTCAAACAATCGACCTGAAATTCCATAACCCTTAAGCTTTCGAAGAAGGCCAGCATGCCAAACCCTATCAAACCCTTTGGAGATATCAAGAGCCACGGCAAATATTCCGTTATTATGAGCCATGCTTGGATAAACAATTTCAGTCATGGCCGTAAGCACATCAGCTGTAGAACGGGCAAAGCGGAAACCATATTGCTTGTCGGAGAGCAGATCATTAATGTAAGGTTGAAAAAAGAACTTCGGCGTTGATTAATAGACAAAAAGATTTTGCCGAATGAAATCTAGGACATTAAATTTATATGTAATACATTTATGGTATTAATGATATAGAATGCAAAAATATTAATATAATTATGTTTTCAGGTAAAGATATATTTCGAATATCACCATATATATATGACACCATGATAATATTATAAGGGAGGGAAGAAAATGTGCGGCATTTCTTTGGACTGAGACTGAGATCCATACCATAGTTTTCGCAAGGGAAAATTCGATGGAAAGAATAATGGGAGATGAATCTGTTAAAGCCATCGATATATGAAGTTAGCAAATAGTCATCGTTAATTTAGGGTTTCATATAAGATAATTAGTTCAGCTAGGACGTGATCACACCGGATTAAATCGTTCTCATCCAGAAACTAAGATCCCCTCAGCATAATGGCAGAATAACCAGAAATGTCATTGAAAAAACTGATTGTTTTTAGAGCTTATCAGGTTTTTGCAGGTTATTTAAAGCTGAATATATTTTTATATTATAGGTTTTTTTCAGATAATAAGGATTATATATGATACAATGATATTAATTAACTCATTACTTAGTGTAGAAGAGCTGGATTAATGCCTTTCCCAATATATAATCAATATAATATATTATATAACACTACCTAACTGGAATTGGAACTACTTCCAATTAACCAGGACAATGAGCAATTAGAATTACCCCACTGCACATTTGAAAATAAGCATTTATATAGGAAAGCGGTCACCTATATATAAAACTGGGACCATTATTGACGTTTCTTAACTTTGAGTAATCATAATAGAATATATTATATATATATATATAAGAAGATGAAATATTTATCATGTATATATATATATATAGCAGCTTGTATTCCTAAGCAGTTACCCAATATATATATATATAATATATCGACATTTATTAAATTTTATATGATCATATTAATTTATTATATAATATATATATGGTGGTAAGTATTTATGCCATTCATATATATATATAATTACAGCAACTTGTATAAATATAAATATATAAATAGGTACTGACCAATATATAACGTATATTATAATTTGGTGATAGAAACGAGAACTATGTTTCAATATAATATATATATAAGTCCTTTATATATAAAAACACATCCAAACTTATTTAAATTTATATTTTATAATAAAAGAGATATATATATATATGAATATATATAACATTTATTAACTTTGTTGATCGTAAATAACCGGTATTAAATGTGAGAAATATATAATATAAAACGATTGTATATATCGAAAATTTTCTGCAAACCAGCCACCATAGCATATGGAAATTTTTATTTTATAGCAAACATTATATAATTTGGCGGTATGACACGCCGTGATAATTACAATCAATTGAATACCGATTGGCAAGAAGATATATATGGCCGATATATAGGATATTCACATTTTCGTCCTGTTCCTCGATTCGCTTGGGGCGTCGGTTTCGATTTATTTATTTATATATCGACTTATTTGAAACGGTTCTATTCAATTTAAAAAATGATTATATGATCAGATTTTAATCCCCAGACAAAGTAAAAAAAACTCGTCATTTTATCGTATATATAGCAATACGACATGAAAGAAAATTATTGCTTTCACCACTTCAACCAGAACAATTTATCCAAATGACTATTTATTTCCAAAGGAAAGGTTATTTTATAGTGATCTTTTCAGCTATATAGCCCAAAAGGAATGGTTCAATGAATATATACGGATTTGTTCATAAACAGTTGACAATTTCGACTTGAAGAGTTTAAAATAAATCAGAAAATCATCCCTTCAAGATTTTGAGTGAAATTTTTTGAATTTGAAGAAAATGAATTTTTCTTTTTTGCCGGGGATGTTGAAAACAATTTTTTTAGGTCATATCTAAAAAACAGTCCCCCAAGCAGTATCTCTCCTGTGGAGGGGGTCTGGAGGTTCAGGCGTCTCCAAATGAGGGATTATTCATTATCGATGGGAAATCAGAAACTTCGACCTGATTCACATTCTGTTGTGGCGTGATATTTTTAAAACAATAAAACAACAAGAGGAAGAGGCTATCATTTAGTGTTTTTAATTTAAAATGGAAGATGAAGAGAAATACAACAAGTGGATTCCGTTTCTAGTTTACATTGATAATAATTTAGATGTTTTGGATGATAAACGATAACTTTAATCTTTCAATTACATTTTAATCCTTCAATATTCCTTTCAGTTAATCTCAGCCAGTATATAGTCTCTTAGAATGGTTTATCAGGATATTCTCAGTCTGAAATGTGTTTTATGTGGAGTCTGTCGGGAGCGCTTGTTTACAAATATCGATTTATTGAAGGTTCTAGTTCTACAGTTTTCCAAGATATAAATAATTATTTATTTAAAAACTATTTGAAGGTCTGCACTAGTTTCCTTGTCATCAGCCATGATTTTTAGAGTATTCAATACCGTCAATAGCCATCAAATCTAAAAAAAATATGAATGCGTGAAATTTCAATTCATAAGCTCAGAACCGTCCAAATATGATTTTAAAAAAAACCAATTTGGAAAATGACGTTTCGCGGCTCCATCCCAGGCACCGTCTTTGGTAAATGAAAATCTCTTTACTAGAAAACAGCTGCTTGATCAAAAGGAGTGAGATAGTTTTTGGAACGGTACCGTTTAAGAAACCGACCAAACAAACCAGAATCTTTTAAACGATGAATCGAGGCGGGGATTAACGGTCTGCGGGAGAGAGATTGAAAAGTGGAAAATAGTTCATAAATCCGCAAGGCCGCGAATAATGTTTTTCCTATCAGTCGAGGCTGGAAAGAGGAAAATTGGTGTCTATTCAAGGTGTATTGGTGATCGGGAAAATATTTTTGGTACAAACAGGAGGAATCAAAATTTATGTATTACAAGGACTAAGGAAAAAAATTTTTCTAAATATGTTTTGCTTTAGGTAAAGGTCCTTTGTATATATCTATGAGTTCCAGAGTGAGCATTATTCCTACTAATAAAATTTTGGGCAAAAGCATCATTTTCGAGTACAACTGGTTACATCCAACATGACAGCTGGTTGTATAATTTATTAGTATAAACGATATTTTTAATTGGGTTCACATATGTTGGAGTTGATATCCCTGTTTTTATTTTATTAACAAACAGTATTAATAACAACCATTTAAATTGAGAAATTCATACTAAAATGAATCTTGTGTTTCTGACAGGAATCGAACCTGCATTTCTTATTCTAGAAGGGAAATTCTTTTTTAATCTAAAATGTAATTACCAGTTTGAGATTTGAATTAAGGAGCGTAAATAAATCGTTTGGCCTCCAGACAATTATTTTACAATAGAAAGAATTGTTAATTAATTATTTATTTTTTAAAAAACTATTTAACTAAATTCTGTTTATAATAAAAAGTATTAGTTTATTTGTCCATGTGGGACGTCATTTATTAGGAATTTAAGATAAAATTTGAGCAGATATGGACGAATGAGAAATCATGGCAAATTTCTAGTTTAAAAGCAGTAAATCGATCTTGCTAACCGGAAAAAAATTTCAAGCTAAACTGGTATAAACAAAATTTAGAACGCTTGTAAGATAGGATTGCAGTCTAGGATACAGAATCGACAATGTCGGCGGAAAAAGGTAGAAATTTCTCGGACGTTCAGGTTGGTAAATGTTCTTAATATGATTTGATTATAAGGAAAGTAATGGGTTAAATATTTGTGCTTTGTAAAATATAGCGTATAACAATAAAATATTTTAAATAATTCTTTTTTAGACTATTTCGTAGTGTGTGACGTCATTATATATATACCTGTTGAGATGTTGAGTGTTTATTCGAAGATGGCATTAAGGACAAACACATACGTCATTTAAAAAATACTCACGAATTATTTACAACAGAGAGATTAGTAGTCAAACGAACGCCTTTTTTCAGTAACAATCAGAAAGAAAGTATAAAGTCCAACTGTATCTTCCGTTCTATAGAACGGAAGTGTGATGGTTAAAAATCTCCCATGTTTCTCTAGAACTGTCCTATTAGTAGTAGAGAGATCAGTCCATTCTGATGAGAAGGTGTAATATAACATGATTCCAGACCTATGTATATATATTATTAGAATACAATATGTTAAATACTACAAAAATTCTACATTCTGTTTCGACGTTTAATAAACAATGTCTCATCAGGTAGTGCTCCAATAATGTTAATAAACGATTTTATTTAAAATTTCAGTCACCGAAATTTATCACTTCATTTTCCGTTTTTGGAAAATTTTTCTGGTGTTTAAAAAAGATTTTTATAAAGAAAAAGGAAAGAAAATAAGAAATATATAATAAATATATATATGTTATATATATATATATAAGTTTTATTAAATAACCATCTTTTTATGTAATCACTATTACATTAAAGGTGCAGTGTCAGCGTTTAAATGGCACGTAAACAGGGGTTTAAATTTGTTCTTCAATGTAACATTTTTACGATTTTTTATGTCTGTCTGTTTGTCGCTTTTCCATTCAAACATAATTCAATGACATAGGAAATATTTTTGATCTGCATTTTCTCAATATGAGGCAAGTAAAAAATTAAAGTGACCCAAAAAAAGTGGCCACCTCCAACAAAAAAGTAATGAGAATAATAAGTACAAATATATGGTAATACAAAGCCCATGTACTGGATTCATTTATTTTTTTTTTCGTTGACGTTAAATCACATCGAGAACGTCTGTATGAACGCCATCATTTTTGTGTACTTATATATATATCTTCACAAATGAAAGGGCACTATAAACACCAGCATTTTCGTTTTTTTTTTTTATTTAAAATTATATTATATAATTTCAAACAATCTTTTCGAATATTCAAATGTTATAATTGCGAACCGTACATTTTTATAATACAAAACATTTTGGGTGAAATTTTCAATATATTTAAAAAAAATTATCTATATAAAGATATATATATATATATATATATATATATATATATATATATATATATATATATATATTCATAATTTTTTAATCTATGCAGCTGGTAGGAAATTTTAAACATTATATAAAACGAAAACAAAAGATATACATATAATCCGGTGTTCTTATTGATTTTTTATTTTTACAAAAAAGTTGTCAATGTAAATTTATAGAGCATAAATATTATGAATTAATTGAATTTTGGAACCTTTTGGTTTTCAAAATTATGAAAGAATATAAACAGAACTAATGCTTTTTAATTTAATTATATAATTAAATTTCAAGTTTTTGCTGAGGTTTTTTGAAAACAAGTAATTGAGAACGCAGAAGGAACCATGTTTTAAATCAGTTAACAAACTTTGATGGCCATTTGGCCGAAATAATCGAAATCTAAATGAAATAATAATAATAATAGTAAAACAAAAAAGCGAAAAGAATATTAACAAAAATCCGTGTTTCTGTGAGATTTCAATTTTAATATTTTTTTATTATTCAATATATATATATATATATATATATATATATATATATATATATATATTGAATAGTCCTCTATTTAATATATTTTATTTATACAAAATGTATTTTTAAATTACTTATATATAAATTTATAAAATGATGTATAAAATATCCAGGTGAAAGCGTAGATTACTTGAAAAATATTTAAAATTTGACCTTAAATAACCCATGGAGGTGTTGATATGCCACTAAACAAAATCAGTCAACCAATCAATCAGTAATCTTTCGCTAGTGGAACTGTTTTTCAGCTTCTTGATTTCCTGTGAACTATGATCTTCAAAAATGTAAATGTAACGTTAATCGTTTGAATCCTGTTCCTTTTTATTGTTTTTTCCTAGACAATTTTTTTTCCAGACGATAAACAATGTCCAACTGCAAGGCTTCGGATCAGGAGGTTTTGAGAAAGGATATTTCAGATCTTAATTGCTGATGCTCCTTGTCAACCCAAACCAGTGTCGTTAGCAGTTGGTTCCAGTTTATGGGCAAATAGTTAACCCATAAACTGGGGTCAAAACACTATGAAAACGTAAAAATAGGTTTTAATAACAGAAATTTTTTTTTTTTTGATGAAAATATTTGCACCGGCAATACATTTTTTAACAAAATATTAGTAGCTATACGATTTTTGAAAAAATTATTACAAAGCAATACAAATTTTTGAAAAAAATATTAGTAGACAATAAAATTTTTTTGTCGGCATAAATGCACCCATTGAGGCTATGTTGTTGCAAACCTGAAAAACCCCTCTTAAAGATGAACTCGTCTACAAACAAGGACAGTTAACTAGTGAAATGTTAAAAGACAGCCCGGAGAAGTTCTTGAGCAAAACTTGAAAACGTTAAAGAACTCTCTGCGTTAAAAGAGGGAACAGACGAGGCTTTGCCGAAGGGCAAGGTTTCGTCCGGGGAGGTAGAAGGGCCTGAACCCGTCTAATCGGCTTCAAAAGGCTATTTTTTTGGCCGAGCCTTTGAAAAGTGAGAAACCCACAACAAAACCGCCAGAAGTGCCATATTCGTTTCCCGTGGGTGAAATGACGAAATACCGAAGTTCTGAGCTGAGTTGGTCGTAGACTATTCAGGCGGCAACTAAAACCAACTTACCAACCGTCAAAACCCATTTATTGTTATTACAGGTTATTTGGCGTTTGTCTTTAAGAATTAAATTAACATCATAACAGCTATTTATGTTAAAATAAACCGAACCATGAATAAGGAAAAAAGGTTTGAAAATCCTAGAATCTCAAAAGGATTTGAAGGAAAGAGATTTTCCAGTTGGATAGTCGACCGGTGAATCTATCACAGTTTAGTGTTATGTAGAATGAATCGTCCAGGCGACCACCCGCATATATGGTGGTCGGTGGAGATTAGACAAGTGGAAGGAGTGGCTGAGGTGGGTTGGGGGAATGGTTCGTTCTGCTAGATAGATCTTCAGAGGCTGGTCAGAAATTCGTCTGTTAATTCACTGTTGATGTTTCTTCCATCTCAGCCCATTCCATTGTGCAAATAAACATTCTCTTCAAAGAATTCTTGAGTCTTTTCTTGTTACCATTCCATTATTTCTTGATGGCTTTCATTCGTCCAGAATGCTTTCCATTCTTCTTGCCTTCTTTGCACCTCTTTCATTCTATCTTTCTATTTATATCAGAAGAGAGATATAAAAAAAAAGATAGAATATAAAATTTGTTGCAATTTTTGCAAAAAGAATGGAAAGCATTCTGAACTTGAATAGTACATCAAGAAAAAACCTCTCTCTCTCTCTCTCTCTCTCTCTATATATATATATATATATATATATATATATATATATATATATCAAAGAAGAATCTCTATCTATGTCTTTATATGTATCAACGGATTTCTATCATCTCTCTCTCTTCTCTGATCTCATTTATATATATATATATATATATATATATATCTTTATATCTATATCTCTAAATGTATATTTATCTACAAAATCTATATCTCTGAAAAATATATAAAATCAAAAATTCTATATCTCTCTCTATATATATAGTCTATCTTTATATCTATATCTCTCTCTATATATCTATCTATTAATCTTTTCTATCTCTCTCTCTTTAATGTATTTATATATATATAATATCTTTATATCTATATCTCTCTCTATATATCTATCTTTTTTTTCTATCTATATCTCTCTCTATATATCTATCGTTTCTGTCTATCTATCTTTTCTCTCTATATATATATATTATATTTTTCTATCTATATCTCTCTATATATATTCTATCTATTTATCTATCTATATCGAAAGTTATATATATATATCTATTTTCTATCTATATCTTTCTATCTATATATATATCTTTCTATCTAGATATATATATATATTTTAAAATCATCTCTTAATCTCTGTCTCTCTATATATCTTTCTATTAGAATATCTGTCTCTCTTTATTTCTATCTATCTATATATTTCTATTTTAAGAAATTTTTATGTTTATACATTGTTTTTATAGATACAAATATTTATCTAAATATATTCTGTTTATAATATATAGTTTCTATAAATATTTCATCGGACATTCAGGCCGGTAAATGTTTTAATACTGTTTATTATAAACTGAGAATTTACTTAAAAAATTGTATATATATAAAAGAATATAAACATAAAATGTTTATATAATATATATTTTGTCCATTTCATAATATATATTTCTATGTATATATCTCTATCTTTATATCTCTTTGTATTCTTATCTCTCTATCTTTATTTGTATCTCATCTCTCTTTTTCTATCTATCTATCTATCTATCTATCTATATATATATATATATATATATATATATATATATCATTTATTCGTTGATTTTTCTTTCTCTCCATTCATTATTTTTAAATTCTTTCATTTTCCTATATTCATTAATTCTTCGGCTTTTTTTTGTTAAATTTCCTTCCTTCAGATGTTTACTTTCAAACTTATCTTGCTACAATTCCCCCTCGTCTCTCTCTCTCTCTCTCTCTCTCTCTCGCATTGTACGGTTCTTTTTTTGCCTCCTCCTCGCTATTTCAGGATCTCCGCCGTTTCCCTCCTTCCTTCTCTTCATCTACTTTTTCTCCTCCTCCCCTGTCAATCTATCCCCTTGTCTCTTTGTACCTATCTATCAATGTGTCTCTGTATTTAACTAGCAAGAACTTTGTACCTAGCTCGCAATCTCTAATTGTAACGATCAAGCCATCTAGCCAGCAGTCTGTTTCTTTGTTCCTAATTACATAGCAATCTTTCTCTGTACCTCTATAGCAATCTGTCAAGTTAGCCATCGGTCGCTTTTTACATATCTAACTAGCATTCTGTCACGTGGTACCTAGCTAGCAATCTATCTTTATATCTATCTAGCACTCTCTCTATTTGTAGACCATAGCAATCTGTCTCTTTGTATCTACCTAGCCAAAAGTCTCTCTATATCTAGTATATCTGTATCTTTGATCTATGTATCTGTCCCACTGTACCTATCAAGCAATCCCTTAGTATCTTGCTAGCAATCTGTCTTTTTGAATCTACCTAGCAATCTTTCTTTGTATCTATCGAGCAAGCTGTCTATTCGTATGTATCAGGCAATTTCTCTTTGTACCTATCTATATAGCTAGGTGCGAAAAGAGAGATTGCTATCATTCTCTCTCTATTCGAACCTACATAGCCTATTCATACCGATATACCAATCTGTCTATTTAGCTCTCTGTCTGTTTGTACTTATCTAGCTAGGCACGGTGGAGAGATGGATAGCGGCGCGGATTGAGGAATCGGAGAGCCGAGTTCGAATTCCAGTCAAATCCATTACATTCACTTACGTGCTAATACCCTTGGGAAAGGTATGAATCCTCTTATTCTCCCCTGATTTATTTATTACACAAACTAAACAATTTATTATAATTTATAATAAAAAGGAAGCACTGTGGAGTAATGGATAGCCGCTCGGATTGAGGAATCAGAGAGCCGAGTTCGAGTTCCAGTCGAATCCATTACATTCACTTACGTGCTAATACCCTTTGGAAAGGTGTGAATCCTCTTCTTCTCCCCACCGCCGCCAGCTAAGGGTAAATAGCAGGATAGACCGGGTTCTACAGCCTTGGATGGCAACTGGTCTACCGCAGAAAGAAATGGCATATCGAAAGATACATGATCGCCTAAGCGTGTATCACGCAAGGCACATAACTGACTGACTGATCTAGCTATCAATCTGTCTCTTTGTACCTACCTAGCAATAAATCTAACTGGCAATGTCTCTTTATGCCTATCTCGTTAGAAATCTCTCTTTGTACCTTCCTAGCAATCAATATTGCTGTTTCTACACCTATGCATCGAGCAAAACGCTCTTTGTACTTATCTAGCCATGTGTCTGGTTTTTTTTTTTTTGTACTTATTTAGACCCGTGTCTCATTATAGCTGGTTAGTTAGCTATTTGTCTCTTTGTAACGATCTCGTCATCTAGCCTGCAATCTGTCTTTGTACCTATCTAGCAGTCTATCTAGTTAGTCATCTATCTAGCAATTTGTTCC